CTTCTTTTTTGCTCCCTTCGCCCACCCTGCTGCGCTGGTCTACATCACTCAGGAGGCAATAAGCAGTAGCGGCCTTAGGGGAGGGCAGCCTCCCCCCACACACACTTTAGGGGGGCCCAACATTGTGCAACAAATTTATTTTGGGGTGGAGTTTTTGCAAGGAAGTGGCTCTATTTGCATTTATCGGCTATTTATCGAATTCGCCCAAAGACTATTAAAAAGATCCACGATACATAGGTCATCAAAATTAAGCCTCTAAGAGGCTCCAAATGACTCTCTTGCGCAGGGCCCCAACAACCCTAAGGCCACCTCTGCAATAAGGACCACTTTTTTTTTCTTTTAACACCCAGCACGGATATACCCTCGTGGCCGTCGGGTCCATCTCCCCATGGAGTATGTTAATTGAATGACGGCAGCCCAAGCCAGCGGCAGCGACCGTGTTTTGGGCAGTGTCAAGACACTTCTTTTCTGGCAGACAAGAGAGGATTTTGCTGTATTTCGTCTCTGGGTATAAGGTAGTTTAGGCCAAGAAATGGACTTGGTGCTGGAAACTCTCTCCACCGTGCATGTTGAATATAGCTCATGCTATGGGGAATCTCACCGACAAGAATAGTGGGCTCAAGGGGAGCAAGGGCGGAGGAATGCGATCCGATGGAGGGAGCGGGGCGTTGTTCGCTCTATGCGTTTGCAGTGTAACATTATACCTCCCTTTGAACCAAGCTTTGACGTTCCCTAGCCAAAATGCCATGTTTAGCCCAAGGCATATCCTAGCCAAATAGACCCACCTCCCCTGAAGCAACCACATCAGAGAGGTGGGTCCTACGGGGCTCAGCCCCACACGGTGCAGAGAGCCTCCTGAGCAGGGCTGGCCCGCGTGCCTGGAAGGACTGGACGTTCCCCCTCCCTGGAAAACATCTGCTTAACAAACCACCGCTCCATGCTCCACTATTGCATCCGTTATTGCTTAGATTGAGGTCCCCGGCTAAGCCCAGCAAGTACTCGTGCGGCCTGGCTCTGCCGCTGAGAGCCGAGGTGGGATCTATGTCCTAGTAGAAATCCCACCTCTCAAGGATGTGAGTCGCTCCTAAAATAATTCAAATCGGTCCAGCTCCACGTGTGGACACAAGTTACGTGGCTGTAAACGCCATCCATCCAACCCAAATTGCCTGCTGCTTCTCCAGCCGGCTGGTGCACAGAGCTGGCAGAGAAAGCATGAGCAACCTGAGCAAAAATTAGCTGGAAAAATACTGCCCCAAGCTGGGCCTGTCCGGCTCAACGCTCCACGGTGACGGATGAAAACATCTTTGTCTGAAGCCTACATTTAGCCCAGGGGTGTGGGGGTTTTTTTGCTAAATCAAATGAGAGCATCCTCACGCTCCCTTCTGCTTAGGGGAGAGCTGCCTTCCTCCCGCATCTGGGGACGGTTTGGTCCCCGGCTGTATTTGTATACCCGGGTCTGTTGGCACTCGGTCGCTGCAATTTCTTGAAGTCACTGCAGAGCTGCTGATGTGAGGTGAAGAACAAGCCCTCTAGCCAAGGATTTTGAGGGCTACAGCAGAGAAGGGAAACTGAGGCACCATGGGGCGAATCCTTCCAAGATGGCTCAGCGGGGCTGTAGCAGAGACAGAAATAAAGCCCAGGGTCTGCCTTTCGGTCTGTAACCACTACACCACCCTGCCTCCTTGTAGAAAGAGCAGGACGAGCCTCTTGGAAGTCTAGAGCGGGGATCTCCGAGTATCGGCAGGGAAGAGAGGGGCCGCCTGCAATTTCCCTGCTCTGCCTGAAACAGCTGTTCCTTTCTAAGTTGCAGCCATCCTCCAGCTATCAGCAGCATGTTAATTAATGAAGGGCTTTCTTAATGACTAGCAGATTGATCTGAGCAGGGCTACTGCCTGGAGAGCTCCTTGCTGCCCTCACCTACCAGGCCTGCCTTTGTCTTGCGGTGCCAGCCTGCACATACAACCCACCCTCCCCTCTCCACCCCAGGTCCTGCCATCTCGGGTGCAAAGGAGAGCAACAAAGGATCCATTCAGCCTTGGGCAAAAGAAAAGGCCAAGTGCTTTTGAAAGGAGGCAGGCCGATGCATCCGTGCTCATGCAGTGCCAGCTCTCATTGCCGCCCGTGGCCAAACTCCCGTTGTGGCCGATGGGACCGAGTCGGGCTCAGGGAGGTGCATCACGGAGAGGGGCCTATCGCTTTTCCACGTCTTGCACTGGCCTCGGGGGGTGCCACATCTCAGGCGAACGTGGAGACTCCTCCCCTGTCCCTCCCTCCTCCCGAATCTAAACGTGGCAGCCGTGGGTCTTATGTAACCCTGACTCGGGGCTCGTGCCACATGGACCACGCCGGGGCTCCCAAGCCCAAGCCCAGACATTCCTCCTCTTCCTCCATGGCCCCCACAGAGCCGAGCCTCCGGGCGGAGGAGGAGGTGGGGGATGGGAGCTGGGACACTCAGGCTCCGTCTCCTTGGACTCGTTTGGGCAAAATTTATCTGCCCGTCAAATCAAACAAGTGTGTAGCGTCCACGCAGGATTTCAGACTAGTCTTGCAAGACTTCTTTTGATAGACACAGGAAAACAGTCCATCCGTACCGCAGAAGCTTAAAACCAGAGCCATTGCCCCTTTTTTACCAATTAGCATCAATTTACAGCTTCCTCTAATTTCCACCCCTCCCCTGAACCTCTTGTTGCCCCAGAGCCAACACGACAGCTGGTGAATGAATCAGAGGCCTCCGGCTTGATGAAACGCAAAGCACTTTCCTAGTTCCTCTTCTAGGCAGAGGGAGAAAAGCTGTGTCCGGGCCCCGAGAAAGAGCATCGAGATCCTGACCTGTGGCTGGTCCAGCTGTGGGGCTGGCTGAGCTTCAGTGCTGTGCATGTGTGTATTGCAAGGCAGATGGGTTTGGGGGGAAGGAAAGATAACGCTGATGGCGACTTGTGCCCTAATCGGTGCTGCTCAACACCCCTTAGGGCTTCTGTAACCCCCAGGCAGGGATTTCACCCCCCGTTTCACAGCGATGAGGGGCTGGGATCTACAGGAAGCACTGGTCCCCTCTCTCCTGGCCGAAGGCAGCCATCTCGGGAGTGAAACGTGGCAGAGGCAGCCCGGCGGAGAGAGCACGCGGGCGTGTGGGCTGGCCGGGATGACTCAGAGGGCTGCTTTGGGGGACGCCGCTGGTGCCGCTCGAGCATAGGAGGGCAAGGCCTGATACTGCCACGTTTTGATGCAGCACGTGGCGGCTATCCCTGGTTTCACCCTGCGCTAGACATTCGAGGGCAGGAGGCAGGGGTCTCTCGGGAGATTATTTTACTAGCCAACTCCTGGCTTATTCCCAGCTCTTGCTTCCTCACAGGACAAAATGATCCAAAGTGATGCACAGATACCTAGCATGCTAACCTCCGCTTGCATCCCAGGGCTCCCGTATCAGAGCCACGGTGCAAACCGGTTTGAAGAGGCAGCCTGTCCTGCAAAGAGTTTCTGGTTCCAGATTGCAGGGCTGTAAGAGAGGCCCAGAGAGACAAAGGGACTAGCTCAAGGTCCCACTGCAGGTCAGCGGAGTCACGCATTGATCCCAGCCCTCGGTGCAGAGATAGGCAGGGAGGGACGTGCCTGCAGGGTCCAGCGCCTGGGGCAGGTTAATGCAAGGTTAGTGCATGGAGAAGGGATGGTGCAAGCCAGAGAGGAGGAAGAAGGCAGTGGCTGCCCCTGGGGGGGGTAAGTGGAGGCTGCCAAGCAGGGACAGAGTGCCCTGGCAGGAGCCGGTGCAAGGCTGCTGGAAGACTGTAGCCCATGGCACCTTGATGTGACCGTAACAGGTACCTGGGATGATGGACTATAGCTGTAGGGAAGATTCAGGGGTAGTTTTATGCAGTGGCTGGTTTGGGCTGGTCCAGCGCTTAGCCACAGCACCTGAGCTAGTTTAGAGCCAGGAGGGATGTTGCTCCCTGCCCTAAGGGAGCAGCAACCAGGTGCTCACTGGAGGCCACTGGAAACCACAGTCTGGGGCTCCTGGATATGGTCTTAGGGTACATATCACAGACTCAGTCCATGGCATGAATTGGCAGTATGTGCCAGTGAGCGCTGGTGGAAACTTGCCCGGACAGTAGCCTCAGCAAGGCTGACACCCAGTGCAGACAGGACAGGCCGTGGACGTGGCAGGATGACGAGAGGGCATGGGAAGACTATGGCACCTTCCCCGTTGCAGATCCAGAGGCAGGGAAGTTACCCCAGGGGCTCATAACCCTACCACATTGGGAAGGTAGAGCCATTGCATTGCCACTGTGGGACTCTCTGAGCCAGACCCTGCACCGTTAGGACACGCTGTCCTTTGCAAGCAGTGGCAGCAGTGAAAGCAGCCCCTTGGAGGATGAGAGCTGATGGGATTTTATTTTACTTCTGTTTCGTTAAAAAACAAACCCAAAAAAAGCCCCAGTTTTCCTGTCTCCAGCGTGAGACGTTCTAGGCGAGGTTTGTTTGCTGGCAGAGTTTATCTGCATCTCCTCTTCCACCAGGCACGACACCGAGCATCCAACTCCATGACCCCAGCCTTGTCCGTGGTATAAGGATGGGGGTCTGGTCTTCATTGCATGCATTGGAAGCTGTGTGGGGCTCTCCCCCCTTTCCTCTGTGGACTTTCCACACCTGGGACCTCGATGGGGGGAAAAGCATCTTCCAAGGCAAACACAGCCTGCAAGGAGGCACAAGCAAAGCCCTCACAAGCCGCCAGGCCAGGGCAGGGAGGACTGGGCAGTACTTTTCCACCCACCGTGCCCTTCAAAAGGGAAGAACCCGTGACCTCAGCCTTGGGTCTTGGCAGCACCGGGGCGGCTTTCAGCAGTCTCCAGAGCAAATAAAGGCGAGAGGAAGGGACTTGGTGTACTGAACAGGAGGGGGAGGGGGCGGCGGGCAGGCCTGCCTATGCACGAAGCAGAGGAAATCCATCCCCCGCCTGCCCCCACCGCTTCTCAGCCGCCGGTTCGAAATGTCAGCTCCTGCCCCGTGTTGCAGAGAGCAAGTGCTTTGCCTTTGAGCTCTTGTCTTCCTCGAGGCATCCCTTCCCGCCGGTCTCACACCCCTCTGCACCCCCTGTTGCACGTAACATAGGTAGTGTCACTGGGTCCGCCCAACAGTTCTCAACATCCAGAGAGCAAAAACACGCTGGGTTTTAAAGAACAAAGCAACAGGCCGATGCAGGGAGCTGGGAGATACGTGTTAGGCACTGGCGGTGGCTGGGGATATTTTACCCTTGTGCCGATGGCCGTGGCCTGTACTAATACAGCAGCAGGAGTAGCTGGCTGTGCTTCTCCGGGCCAAAGTGCAGGTCCTCTGAGCGCCCCGTTTGCTTTGTATTCTGCATGGTGGAGTTCCTGGCTCCGCTTTAGGAAGGAAGGGAGATAGCTGGAAGGAAGGAAGTGAGCAATAGATGTTATCGGAGCTCGGCCAGGCTGCTTTGTCTTTGGCTAGTTGCATTTCGGTGAGGCAAGGCTATGCCGGAGCTGCGAAAAGACGAAGAGACAAGATGCCCCTTTGTAAAAGAGTGGGTCCTTTCACTTACAGTCAGGTGAGATCCCTCCAACCTGCCTCACGGCCTCCTCCAGCCTTGCTAGGATTTCCCTGGGGTCTCTCTCTAGCTCCAGTCAGCACCAAGCTGGCTCGATGCATAATGCAGGGTTGCACAGATCAGGGAAAGTGCTGTCCATCAGGACATCTTTGGGTAGATGTAATATCTTTTATTAGACCAACTTGCACCCCGCCTGCTGGGCTGGACACCCCTCCATGCAGACCCGGCCTCGGACCCCTGCCAGCGAGCTCCCCGGGGTCCGCGCACGCCCCTCACTGCCCGAGAGCCCGGCTGACACGTGTGCCGGCAGAGACAGGTGGACGGAGGAGCCGGGAGGGAAGCGACAGCAGGCGGAAGTGTTGGAAAGGCGACAAAACCGCTTCAGAGGCGAGACAAACACTGGCTCTCTGCTTTCCTGGGAGGGAGGAAGTGAGGAGCTGCCTCTCGCATCTCCCCTCGGCCCGGCACTGGGGCTGCATATTAAGTGTGCAGCTGAGAGTCCTTCTCACACTCCCCCATCCCCGCACAGAAGGGTTTAATCCCTCCACTCCGGAAATGGCAGAGGAGGAACAAGAAGGGTTTGTTTTATAGGCCTCCCGTCTCGCTCGGGGTTGATTTAAGACCGGCTTCCTAAGCAGCTGCTGGGGGACAGCCGCCCCTGGGAGCTGAATGGGCTCGGGAAGCCACACTCCTTTCTCCGCCCGGGAGAAAGAGCTGCAGACTGTGCTCTGGTTTCTCCTGCCATTGTCCAGGGAGACGTCTCCCAGCTCAGCCGCGATGAAGGCCAGCTATAGCCCTGAGGCTGCCTCTTCCCCCTGCAGCGATGCTCGGGGCTGCAGCACCTCCCAGAGACCGGCTGCATCAGCATGTCTCAAAGCTTGCTTCCAAAGAGCTCCCTCACGCCCTCCCCTACTTTCTCTTTCTCTTTTTCCTTCCTCCACGTTCACTTCTCCCCAGGATGGGACGAAGGATGGAGGTGTGGAAAGTGTTTATCTCCTGAACCTCAATGAATGTCCCTTGGTGCAAAACGGTGCCCCCTCCCCCGGCAACAGAAACGCTTTTCCTGTTTTAATTGTAGGTTTCCGGTGTTTCAGACCCACAATGTTCAGACTCTTTTCTTCCAGAAAGCCATTTTTTCTGTTGCACTTTCTTGCCAAGGCTCCCCCACTCCTAAACGGGCAGAAATGACAAAGAAAGATTGCCGTTCCCTGGGAGTAAACCTGGTAAGGGCATCACTGCAAAGCACTTTAAGGCTCGTCGATCGAGGCTACGTACAGGAGTGCTGCCGTTATCCCGGTTCATGGCCTCTTTGGCCTTTTCCACCTTGCGTCCTAACTTATCTTGACTCAGCCATAGGACTTACCTACCCGGACGCCCTCACAAAGCCACTTGTGCTGGCCAAAAAGCCGCAGGTTGCAGGATGAACATCTAATTCTTGCTCTTTTCCTTTCTCCAGGCTCCACTGATAGAAGATGCAGGCGTGGGTCTTCTTCCTTCTCTGCCTGGCAGGCAAGGCACTGGCAGCCCCTGTAAGTATTGCAGCTCACCCTATCCCTATCACAGTCACCTCCTCCCGCGGGTACCGCCACCGTGGCAGGTTGTCCCTATGCCCCTCTGCAGCACCCACCACACCACATCCTTGTACTGGGTGTTTTTGAACAGCTTCTCGTGTCTTGGCCCCTTGAATTATCCTCAGCTGTAAGTGCCCCAGCACTGCCCCACGGGGACAGTGAGCTCGCGACCCATTTCACACCAAACCAGGGTCATCCATGGCCTTCATAATCATCTGCCTTCCAGCTGTGCTGGGGTCACAGCTGGGTCTGTACCCCGCTGGCTGCCCTGAAACGCTCCTCCGCCTCTCAGCCAATGCAGGGCAGGGGAGGAAGCCGCAGAGCTATTTTGCAGCAATAGCTTCTAAGAGTGACCGCCAAGGCTGGGAGGTCGGTCCTGATTCCCTGGGAGGTCAGTACCGAGGACAAAATGCTGGATGTGGCTAGCCTGGCCCTGCTGTGAGGACGCCGGCATGCCTCCCAACGCTGGAAGGGGTGTTGGGGGTCCTATCCTTGCCCAAATGTAGGATGAGCCATGCCAAAATCAGAGGCAAAGGGGTTTACACAGGCCAACACCGGAGCTGCTTGTAAGTGCGGGCAGGTGCATCCCAGTCGTTCAGTTGTCAGGTACGCGGTACCCGATCCTCCGCAGATGCCTGCTGGGACCTCAAAGGTCGGGGGAAGCCCAACTAAACCACTGAAGAAGTCACCCCAGTGCAAGAAACCAGCACCAGCTCTTAGACCCTCCCAGTGCCCCTTGGATAGGTAGAGGTCTAAAAGGGGCTTAGCTAAGGCGGCAAAATCTCTAGCAATGCCCTTTAGGCAGGGAGGTGGGGATGCCTCTTGTCCTGTCTGTAGCAGAAGCCCCTCCAGCATTAGCAGGGTTGGCCTCCATGTGCAGGCGCCTCGTAGACCTGGCACCGGGCCACCGAGGGGGTGGGGAAGCCCACAGCCAGGCAGTGCCAGCCGGGAACAGGTGCTGGAGGGTTTGTGAGCGGAAGAGACTCACATGGGAGCTCCAGCTGCTCCCTCACCCTCCTTGCCAGCTCCCACCGGGGCATGGATATCTATTCTGAGCAAGAGACTGCATTTCAACATGATAGAGCCGCTCCTGCCTGGGGATGAGGGCTGGGGGAGGCCTGTGCTGAGCTTTATTGACACCAAGGCCTGTATCTGCATAGCTCTTCTTCAAATCCCAGTGCATTTGCTGGGCATCACATGGGCCTTCCTCCCTCTGGCTCAGGAATTCGTGCGGCTCAGGGAGATAAGGCTGCAGGCCACCCCCACAGCAAGAAGTATTTGGAGCCTAGTGGTAGCTGACTCCATAGGACGACCCGGGGAGTGTGGTAGGGGGTCAGCTGTATTTTTCCAGGTGTAAGAGCGAGCTCTGTAACTTCACTAGGAAGGAATTTGATTGAAGGTCAAGAAACAGGCGAGCTCGAGTGAAGTCTTCGGGAGAGAGCACGGGGTGCGTGTCTCCTTATCACACGCTGAGGCAGCTCTGAGGACAAAATGCTGCCCTTCCCACCCACAGGCAGGGGCTTAGAAATGTGTCACCACCTCACAGCTCCCTAAACCAGCCAGGTCTCCTGCCCCAGGGGCCTGGCTGCATTTTGGGAGAGCCACACTCCCACCGTGAATGGCAGAGGGGCTGTTACAAGCCATGGGGGGGCCCATGAGTGAACCAAGAGGTAACAGCCTTTGGCTTCCTTCTTTGCAGCAGGATGCTCTGCCTGACGAGATCGAGGTAGTGGAGGATCCTACAACAGAGGTATGACGTCCTGCCACATTGCTTCTCTCTCTGCTCTGCACCTGCACCCCGCTCTCTGTGCATGGACACACACGCGTGGCACCTGGACGGTCGTTTCCTCTCCCTGCCGCTGTTGTGGCCAACTGGGCTGAAAGTCAGAGCAGGCCCCCACTCAACTGGGGAGAGGAGATCAGGCCCTTCCCAATGGTCGTCTTCTTGGGAAGGGCTCTGGGGGTGGGTATATACACCCCAGACCTGGCAGAGGACGTGGAGATCCCGAAGAGGGAAGGGTTTTGGCTTTGCCTGTGCTGGATGCTAGCTCAGCCGCCCTCCCACCCTGGTCAACAGCAATGGCATCGACCAAATGTCGCATCATCAGCTTGTCCTGGGGCTCCCTGCCCCACTGGGTGGTTCTGCATGCATCGCCTTAGCTGGTCACTCCCCAGCAGCGACTGAGCTGCTTTTCCTTCTGGCAGGAGCCCGTGGGAGTCAACCCCGTGCAGGTGGAGGTTGGAGAGTTCGAGGAACCCACCGTGGATGTGGAGGAGATCGTCGCGGAAAGTGAGTGGCCTCCCGCCTCCACGCTCCCTCCTGGGGGCATGTAGGCAAGGCAGGCGAAGACTGAGTCTTTGGAGACGGGACGATGCCCTGGGAAGGGCTGCGGCACACAGCAGGGGTGGAGGGTGAGGGGTTATTGTGGGACTTGGTTGTTTTCGGCACGTTGCCCTACATTCCCACAGAGCCGGAGGTGCAAAGCATTAACCAGAGGAGCAACTGGCTAATGAAAAGAGAGAGGTCTCCAGCTGTGTTTGGGATGCTAGTAACCTCCTGGTCTCCTCCATCTGGCTGCAGGGGGACACTGGGGGGCAATGCTTGGCCTCGTTCTCCATCCCCTTCCCATCAACTTTCTCCTGAAACTGCCTGTGGCCAAAGTAGTGACAGGCCACTGATGATGCTGTGCCATGAGCTCTAACCCTGCTCCCCGCCTTGTCCCAGACCCCTGCCAGAACCACCACTGCAAGCATGGCAAAGTCTGCGAGGTGGACGATAACAACTCCCCCATGTGCGTGTGCCAGGACCCCTCCAGCTGCCCCAGCAGCACCGGCGTGTTCGAGAAGGTGAGCGGGGAATGGGAACGTGGTCACGGAGGCTGGGGGAGCAAACAGGGAGTAGAGGAGCGGGGTTGTGGTCCTGGCAGCTTGGGGCATGCTAATAGAGGGCAGGATCTAGCCTGGGGTGACAGGTTGGAGTCCAGCACAGGTCCCTCGTGCCTGTAGGAGGTGAGCTGCCTGCCTCGCCCTGACCCTGCCCTTCCCACCAGGTCTGCGGCACTGACAACAAGACCTACGACACCTCTTGCCACTTCTTTGCCACCAAGTGCACCCTGGAGGGCACCAAGAAGGGGCACAAGCTCCACCTGGACTACATCGGCCCTTGCAAATGTGAGTCTGCTCCTTGTCCGGTGGGCAGGGGGTCGATGGGGCGCAACGTCCCTCGCTTTGCACCCAGCCAGCTCTGCTTTCTGCTTCGCAGCCCTGCAACGTGTTGAGGGGGGCTGAAGGATGGGCTCCTGGTATCTCACCGTGCCAGGCATGCTCCAGGCCCAGAGCAACCCCGCAGCTCTCGGTCCCCATTAGTCCCCAGGCACCGCAAGCTCCCATGCACCGCTTTGCGGGGCATGCAGCTGGCACGGCCTGTGCTCTGCCAGAGCAGGGGGGTCTGTAATACCTTTGCAAGCCCCACAGCTAGGAATGCTGCTGGCTCGGCACTTCTGAAAGGAACGGCTTGTTTCCTCCTCGCCTGCCCGCTTTAAAATGCCAAGCCGGGACCTGTCTAGACCTGCCTGTCTCCCCGGCTCCCTGCCTCGCCTAATGGCCTGATTGTGCTCACATGAGCTAGTGCTAAGCAGTAAGCAGCACCTGGCGCTGTGCAAGATGCCGGCTATTGTGCATGTGGACTCCAGACCCCCTAGCCTCTGGATTGCTCCCATTTCTTCTTGGCCTCATGTGACTGGGATCAGATGGAGGGGTGGGAAGGCTTATAGCCAGCCCCTCATCAAACATACAGACCCACCAGGAAGGGGCACCCCCTGGGACCCCAGGAGTAGCACCGACCCCTGCCTGGGGGAGGATTTTGGGATAGGATGTCCAGGCCAGGTCAGCTCTTCTGATACAGGACCCATGTGCTAACCTCATCGACATCATAACGATGCTGCAACCCCCCGAAAACCACCGGCACAGGGAGATTGAGTCTTTTCAGGACAGATCCCTGCATTGGAGGACCAGGTCTCTATGTTGCAGGAAAGGGAATCCTCGTGCTTTAAGGCTTTCAGCTGCTCCCAGTGCCAGGGGGGTGGCAGATCCGACCCCGGGGAACCAGAAACTTGGGCCTAAACACAAAGCATGTTCCTTCCCCCATTGCCTGCTCCCCTCCAAAGGCTGTGCCTCCCCTGGAGAGAGATTGCTTGAGCTTTGGTTGTGTCCAGAGTGGGATTCCCACCCTGAGACCCACCTTTCTCCAGCCACTGCTGCCCTTGGCTATGGCCAAGGGTTCCCGTCCCTATGCTAGTAGCAAGGGGTGGGGTCTTCCCTGAGATACCCCACTGGACCCTGTGCTGATGGCTGTGCCGGGTGGCTGGATTTCAGACATCCCCGCGTGCCTGGACACTGAGCTGACCGAGTTCCCCCTGCGCATGCGGGACTGGCTGAAGAACGTGCTGATCACCCTGTACGAACGCGACGAGGACAACAACCTGCTGACCGAGAAGCAGAAGCTCAAGGTGAGAGGAGGCCATGACCCGGTCCCCCGTGCCCACACAGAGCCCAGCCCGGCACACCGGGATGCCCCCAGCATACAAACGCATGCACCAGGAATGCACCCATTACACATAGGGAACCCATTTCCACGTGCCTCAGTATGTACTGGGAACCTGCCACTGCCCAAAGGTGTGCAAAGCCTGCCCACGTGTGCATGCTGAGCCCAGCTCTGTGCACACACAAATGCAGATGTGCCTGGCAAAGTCCATACTAGTGCACCTCCAAGCTTTGGTGCACCCCATTGCATGCTGCTTCTGGCCCAAACTCACACCCCAGTGAGATCCTGGACCCACCTGTGGTACAGCAGCAGGTAGAACCACAGCAGGACATGACGGCTCACAGAAAGAAACTTGCTCCTTAATCATCCCTCCAGAGCAGCCCCCCACCCAGCTGTGCTCTGAACCTCGCCCACAACACCCCACCCAGGCGTCCCATCCCCTGGCCCCCCAACAACCCCAGGGCTGCTGACTGAGATCTCCCCGGTAAACAGGTGAAGAAGATCCATGAGAACGAGAAGCGCCTGGAAGCCGGCGACCACACCATGGAGCTACTGGCCCGTGACTTCGAGAAGAACTACAACATGTACATCTTCCCCGTGCACTGGCAATTTGGCCAGCTGGACCAGCATCCCATCGACGGGTAAGGGACTCCACTGCCAGGGGCTGGAGGCCCCTTGTTCGTTCCCCTCTGCGTGGCTGGGCGCTCGCCCGGACCAACCTCAAACAAAGGGAACTCCTTGCTTATTTGCAACCCAGGAGCAGTGGTGAGCTTCACACCACGGGAAGCCCATGGCTGGGATGGCAGGGTATGGTGCCACTCAGGGTATCTGCAACGGGGCATGTGGGCCAGGTGGGAGCATGGTGGGTATGGTGCCAAGGTATGGTGCCACTCAGGACATCTGCAAAGGGGCATGCGGGCCAGGTGGGAGCATGGTGGGTATACTGAGTGGGTATGGTACTATTCAGGGCATCTGCAAAGGGGCACGTGGGCTTCAGGGGGATTCAGAGCAGAAGCACGGATGGCACCTTGGCTGAGCAGCCAGGGGGTGAATGAAGGGGATGAGCTTCGTAGATGTGGATCCGCAAGATGCTCTGCTGGATGGGGAGATGGCAACCTCCCCATGAGGACTTCTCAGGCCACCTCAGGCCATCCTTATAGTTGGACCCAAAGGACTGAAGTTCTGCAATGCAGCGGTGGAAGGGCTTGGCCCCTTCCCTGTCTGCTGCACCCGCCAGCAGGACTGTAACACGTGCCAGGGGAGGAGAGGGAGGAAGCTGAGGTCTGTACCGGACTCTTCCCCCCAACATGCTGCTTTGCAAGCTCTGACAGCGGTGTCTCTCCTTGCAGGTACCTGTCCCACACCGAGCTGGCCCCGCTCCGAGCCCCTCTGATCCCCATGGAGCACTGCACCACCCGCTTCTTCGAGGCGTGCGACGTGGACAACGACAAGTACATCGCCCTGGAGGAGTGGGCCGGCTGCTTCGGCATCAAGGAGCGTAAGTACCTGGAGCAACAGCTGGGGATGCTCGAGGAGCAGCATCACAGTGCTCCCCTCTGCCCCGGTCATCAATGCACCCGACAAGCTCTCAGGGGCCTGCAGAACAAGGGACAGGCAGGACGTTGGGTCCCCTGCTCTCAGCGCTGGCCCAGCTCTGGAAGTTGGTAGTAAAATGCTGCTAAATCAGAGCTGTCCTGGACCCCCCAGGGTTGAGGTGGACTAAGGCTGGTGGCAGCGACCTGGTCGCTGTTGCTCCTGTCCGTGGTGGGTGCCATTCAAGGAGGTGCTACAGAAGCACACAGACAGCGGGAACGTGGCTCTCCTGGTGGGCTTGTCCTGCTGGTACCCCACCTGGGCAACCCGCATGTCTAAAACCTGCAAGAAGATGCAATAAGAACGGGTGGGGCACCAAGCTCCCGGCCCCGGGGAAAGCTAAGGTGGTGTCTGTCCATCCCTTCCTTCATCCCCAGCACTGTCTGCAGACGCTCCCCTCGTAGCAAGGCCTGCAGAGAAGGTCCTTGGAAAGCAGTCTAACATCTCCTAGCTGGCAGAGGGGCTTGCAGAGCCTGTGTCTGGCCCTCTCCATGCAGCAGCCCATGCATTTGCATGTGACGGAGCCACTGCGGGGTGACACGGCCTTAGCTGCGTTCCAGTTAGCACACACTAAATATCTCCGGTCCAGCTCCTCATTTCTTCTCTCTCCTTCTTTTGCAGAGGACATTGACAAGGACCTCATCATCTAAGCCACCGGCCTTCTTCGCTGTCGCCTACATTTTTTTTTTTTTAAACCTCCCGTTTCCTCTTATTTTGAAACCTTTGTTTGGTTTGGTTTCTCCCCTGGGGACAAGGTGCTAATATAGGTCTAAATCGTACATATTAACGGTGCTAAAAGACACAACAAACTCAGTGTTAGTTGCCTAATCTAAGCCACTAGGATGCTCTACTCACTCCCCCGTTTCTGCACGTTCTCGCTGATCCTCTGAGTCAACGGCATTGCTGCAATGACCCGTCCTGGAGGGTCGCCCCCTCTTCCTCTCCTCTCTTGGGTCTATTTTTTAAGCTTCTTACTAACACCACATTCTTCAGATGTTTAAATGTAGAGCAAAGACAGCCCAGGTGATTCACTCCTTGATTTCCAGAAGGCGAGTGAGGGAAGGTCTATCCAGAGGGTGTTGGAAAGTTGGGCTTTTCGAAGCTTAGCAGAGGTATTTTTAGTGATGTTTCAGAGCTCCTGGCACGGAGAAAGAAGAGGGGATTCAGAAAGTCCAGAACAGCAAATCTGAACTTCCCAGGGCTTGAATTTATCAGGAATTGGGCACAAAAACATTCAAAACGCACAAAATTTAAAACTCTCTCTCTCTACACCAGCATGTAAAGACACCCCTCTAAAAATAAAGGTTTGAAAATGCTCCCTGCTTGCTCATGGCTCAATGACTGTCTTGTCCCGGTGTTTTCTGTGCTTCCAAGTTCGACTGGGCGCTGACGTGCTTGGTGGCGGTCTTTGCACTCGCGCTCGCTCTCGCCGGTTTGCTGCAGCCGAGACGATGCGCCCCGTGGCCTCAGCTCCACGTGCCCCCAGACTGCTTCGCACCAACGTCTGGTTCGCTCTTAAATTCGAGCCCTGTGCTTTCGGGGAAGCTCTGCGAAGTTTGGAAGCGACGCTTCTGCATTGGAAATAGCCAAGCGAATGTTTTCTGGGGGGGGGTTTCCCCCACTTTTTTCCATTGTGTTTCCTGGCCTTTTAAATTTGTTGTGTTTTATTCGGGGTTCCTTATCGGAAGGGGGTCCCCACAAAATCCAAAGGGAGGGTGAGATCTCGCAGGCTGAGAGCGCTTTTTACCTCCGAATGTTTCCCGTGCCTTTGGTGATGACTTTCTTGCCACAGTGTGAGCAAGCTGATGAGTCTCTCGTAATAAAAGATGATGATTTGAAACACTGAGGCTCATCGAGCTTCCCGTGTGCTTCCCGTCTCCCAGTCTGTTTCCGGTCAGCCTCCGCTCGGGGCGCGGGGTCACATCTAGACCGTCTAGAAGTGAAAGCCACGTCAGCGGGCAGCCCATTTCCTCCAGCATTTGCAATCCCAAAACCAGCCTTTAATTTTCCCCTGGCACTGAACCGACGTGCGGTTCCCAGAACAAAGTCTTCGAGTTTCAAAGAGCCAAGCCTGCCTTGCTGAGCCTGGCCTGGGAGCTCAAAACCATGAGTCGGCAGGACTAATATGCTGACTCACAACAGCATGAGTCAGGTAACCAGCTTTGCTGAATCAGCACCTCCCAGGATCCATCCGCATGCGACCTGTGAACCCACCGAGGCTCGGACGTGACCCCCCCAGGCCATGCCGCTCTCTGCTATTTAAAGGTTCATTTGCCAGAATTTGGGATGAGGACTTGGAGCTGACTTTGAATCATGGGATCATGGAAAATGAGGGTGGGAGGGGCCTTGGGAGGTCACATCCAGTCCAACGCACTGCTCCAAGCAGGACCAGCCCCAGCTACATCATCCCAGCCAAAGCTTTGTGGAGCTGGGTCTTGAAAACCCCCAAGGATGGAGCTTCTCCAGCTCCCTAGGTAACCTGTGCCAGTGTTTCCCTACCCTCCTAATGAGAAAATGCTTCCTAATATCCAACCTCAACTTCCCTTGCTGCAGCTTGAGCCCATTGCTCCTTGTCCTGTCATCTGCCCCCCCTGAGACCAGCCCAGCTCCATCCTCTTTGCAGCCCCCCTGCAGGGAGGTGAAGACTCAGTCTCTTCTCTAGACTAAATCAGTCCAGTTGCCCCAGTCTCTCCTCACCAGTCCTGTCCCCCAGCCCCCAAACCATTTTCATTGTCCTCCACTGGACTCGCTCCAGTTTGTCCGCATCCTTTGTGTAGTAGGGGTGTCAAAACTGGACACAGGACTCTAGATGTGGCCTCACCAGTGCTGAATAAAGGGGAATAATTACTTCCCTTGAGTTGCTGGCAACGCTCCTACCAATGCAAGGACTTCTAGGACTCTGAAGGTCTCAGGGTATTAAGAGTCTTCATTAGCCTTATTGCAGCAGAGAGGTTATTACTGATCTCCAGGAGGGATCCCCATAGCAGTCATAGATTCATAGATTCATAGATGTTAGGGTCGGAAGGGACCTCAATAGATCATCGAGTCCGACCCCCTGCATAGGCAG